TTCTATGTACCCTACTGGTTTATCATGCTAAAAAAAATAAAATTATCAAATGACATCACTTAGCCTACCTTGGAGTTAGGATAATTTAAAAAAAAATTTTATTAACACTTTAATATTACCTAGCACACATTCACATCTTGAACTAGCAAGCAAGGCTAATGTGAAGTACTTCCTTGAAAATTATTTACTTTCCATGGTTTGCTGTGACTAAGGATAATCCTATAGCTGTGACTAGATAGAAAAATAAACTAAATGACTGCAACAGTCCCCTGCAAGCATCTTAAGAAATTTTACAGGGTATTTTTCCTGTAAGTAAACAGACCCTTTTTGGGGGTTAAACTGAAGTCTTTCAAATGAATTATATGAAGTCTTTCAAATATGAAGCCTTTCATAATAACATCACAATTGACCTTTGCTGTTGTCATCACAACCATTAAGATCAATAAGACTATCTTCAGGAGAAAATATTGCTTTACTTGACCTAAAAATGTACTAAGCCATCAACAAGTGCCATAGGCTGGATTTTCAAACTTGAAAGGACCTGGGGGTTACAGTGGATGTCAGGCTGAACATGAGCAAAGTGTCCCCTCACCATAAAGGAGCAAACCACAGACTGGGGCTGCAGTAGGAAAGTAGCCAGCCTATCATGGAAATCATCTCCCTCCTACTTCATCGTCCCTTATTATCCAAAGGTGCTGTTTTGCAGAGGTTTTTCACTGGAGAATCTGGAAGCCATTGCCATGCCTGCTGCTACAGCCAGCTTATGATGTACTGACGTGATCTTTAGGGAAAAGCTCTTATTTGAATGCTTCTGAGTCCTTCACAGTTGCACACACAGCAGACTGTGCCTCCTGCAAATACACACAGGATAAATCTGAGTCAGTGTGAAGCCCACTATACCTGGGCTCTTAGATGGAGACCAATCTTCTTCACATCTTTGTTACTGACTCACACTGAGGACCTTTAATTCCACTAACACATGAGAAGACCATTAATCTGATTAGAGGAAATACCAAAGTTCCTCCCAACCCAAGCAGAAATAACAGCCTGAGTGCCTGTGCTCAGAGTGCTCCTCTGGTCCACCGATAACCAAGCTAATGCAACAGAAAGCACACCCACACTCCCTACAATTCCTCTGAAAGCTAGCTTTGGGTGGTGCACAGGCTGACTCTCTTCATGAAAGCACTTTGCAGAGCTTCCATGATTGGCTCAAAATGGGCTAAAGCTTGTAAAGCAGCAACACAACTTTCTATATTTTGGAGAGAGTGGTAAAAGGAAAAACCCAGATGTTTAGTGGCAGTCTTAAAACCATTTGAGAATCGGATTGAACCCACATTTAGAAGGTTTTAAGAGCAACCAAGAGCACTAGCTTTTCTCTCTGGCCTTATCTGAGAATAAAGCACAAGAATTTATTTAGCAAGGAAAGACAACACAAACTCAACAAGTAAACTCAACAAAACAATTGAAAGCTTTTATTGTGATACCTCAAGTAGATACAATATAGTGAAACAACAAATGATGTACAGTATTGCTAGGACAAAACAGCAACACAGCCATGTCACCTGTAAAAGAAAGCATTGTAAAGAGTTTAAGAAACAATGAGGCACAACTCAACTGCCACTTAGGACTCATGCTTTACTCCTTAAACCACTTGTAACAGTCCTTTTAAAAGAAACCTCTGAAGTGTCTGTTCCTTTTGCAGTAAGTGTTTATACTGCTGGTTGGCTTAACAGGAGTCTCAATGAAGTACAATGAAGTGTCCAAAAAGTTTGACAATAGTTTTGACAGCTTCTTCCACTCATCACCATTACAAAGACTGCGGACGTTTGAGATTCGGTCTGTGGGACTGTAGATGGCCACTGCTGCAATCTGACTGCTGAGACCAGCGTGCAGAAAAAGCTCTACAAGCATTACTCAGAGGGAAGCAAAGTCCACCAAAAATGGTACAGAGCATTCATGGACTCTTCACTAACCTGATACACCAAATACAGAGGAGCGTTTGGTTCTGGGCGCAGCGATGACTGTTTGTCAGAACCCCTGAGGCCAGACTTAAATTCAGAGGACTTCCACACGCTGTGTTCCCCTCCTCTCCCAGGACTGCCCAGGAGACCCGCCGGCAGGCATGGCACCACTCAGACTGCCCGTCAGACCAGGCCTTGCTCCTGGCAATTAGGATGGAGTTATAGCAGATTTCATTAACACAGTTTGCCATGGTGTAACTTAGAGTGGACGAGGGAAATTCATATTCTGGCCCTTTTTACAGCAGATATGATAGAGATTACTGGACAGCTGAAAGCATACAACTAGAGTGTTTAGGCTGATGTGTCAGCAATCCCTCACCAATTCTGCAGCCTATTTCACAGCAAGTTTGCAACTTAACAGAATTTTTACAGATGGTAGCGATGCCTTTTATTAATCAAAAGGGTACTTAGAGTGACCAGCCCAAGAATAACTCCAGTGTTTGAGGGCAGACTCAGTCCTGGAATGCCATTGTTACAGACCTTATTTTGGACCTAGACAGAGAATGTGTGGTCAGATTACTGAAGTCACATCAAATTGCTTTGGGACAGGCATGGCTTTAGAGGTTCAGAGGAAAAAAAAAAAAAAACCTTTCAATACATGTACATTTTTGCTAGCAAATTCCTATGCATCCCAATGAACATTTCTTCTAAGCCAGCTCATAGTCAGTTCATTTGGTCCAAGAAAGAGCCAGCAAGAAACAAAAGGTTCACAAAAGCTTTTGTTACAGTTTATAAAAAAAAACAAAATACAAAATAAATGTTAAGACCAACAATAAAAATAACCAGTACAAGTAACAAAAGTGCTCAAGTTGGAGGGGAAGTAAACTTGCCCAGAGCATACACATACAAACTTTAAATATAATCTTTAATATATTACAAAAATTGGTTAGAGGGAAACCGCTTTAGTAAAATTCTTTTTTCAAGTAATTTTATTTTTCTTTCAAATGACTGCTGAAGGGTTCAGTGACCAGACTGACCTCTTCACATCAGCCAGCAGCCATTGCTATCTGGATTCTACTTTCACCAAAACCAATAACAAGAACTCTCTCTGTCTTTACAAGGGGGGAAGATAATCATTGACACTGCCAGGCAACACAGTAAGAAAATTCACATATTCCTTCAATAGGATCAGCCTTGAGAACTGTTACATGGCAGCATGAAATAGCAATTCTGTACTAGTTCTACTCATTACTTGTTCTAAGCATCCACTCTTAAAAGACCAAAAAGAATATTGCTTTGTTTGGTTCTCTTAAAAGCCATAAACATCACATCTAGATCATTAACTCTTTATGCCAGTAGTCTGAAGCTCTGTGTGCTAAGCACTTGATGAAGTCCCAACCTTTGGCATCAAAGTTAATTAAGGTTTTGGTGAAAATGTCCAGTTTGAAATATAAATAATGCACTGAAGAAAGAGGTTGAATTTCCAAGTAAGAATCAGACTGTTACAGACAGCATTAACTTACTAACAAGAGATAGCCAAACCCCAAATTTTAAAGAGAAAAACCTTTACATATTTTCTTTAATTTCCACTCTCTACTGAAGAGCAGCCATTACTTTTGTCTTCCATCCAGTGTACGGCTTCAACAAGGCTGTAGCCAGGAAGTAAAAAAAGCCCAAAAGATAGACTGCAATTGGACTCTGAAGCCAACACAAACTTTTTGCTGGTAGCAGTTTTAGTGCCTTCTTTGTTGGCAATACATTACAGTGGAGGAAAACAAAATCCAAAGAATTCCAAGTCAAAAAGATTAAGAGACAGGCAACACCAAAGCCCATCTTGCATCAATGGTGCTGTTAAAAAGGAGACTTGAGCCTGATGATGTGAACATGAAGCAGTAACGTGTAAGCCACAAAATCCAGATTGAGCAGGGCAGCATCACCCCACATCTCCAGACTGAAACCCGACAGCCTTCACCACTTCTCTAATTCTTATGATTTTAATTGACAGGTATAGATCACTACAGCAGCTTGAATGCAGTTTAGCCAGCCTGCATCACAGAGAATGTGTACACATGGGCAAACTCTCGCTCTTCTCTCTCTCTTCACAAAGACATTGGAAAGCTGGTTTTAAAGATTTGTATTGCCCCTATCCATTGGCAAAATTTTTTATCTATGACAAAATTTCTAAAGTGCAGCAGAGTACAGAAAGCCTGTCAGAGATTCCCAAAAACATAACAGCAGCAATAGCACCTCTAACTAATTTTTCAGGTGCCACATTAGAATTGTTATTGAGAGAAAACGATTTTGTATTGCAAGGCTTCCGTATTGTTCAGTTATAGTACTGATGTAGTGTTAAAGGGTTTTTACTGAACATCTTGTCCTCAAGCATTGAAAGGATTAAAATACAAAAAAAGTCTTCAGAGACAGTTTAATTGGAAAATAAAGTTAGCAAATTTACATAGAGCATTTTTTTTCATAGTTGCTCAATGTGCATGCACAGGTATCAACAGCTAATACTGTGCATATACTTTCCAGAAGATTCTCATTAACTCATTTCATCTAAGAAACAGCGCAAGAAAAAAAGGTGAGTTTCACACAAATTTTTATTATAAAAAGGTACTTGGGGATGATTCAGCCAGCAAACCAAGAAACCCCTTCCCCACCCCCAAGTTTTAAAAACTATCTTGTTCTTTTATTTTATGAAAAACTGAGTCAAACTTCCCTTCCCTCTTATTACCCCTCCTTTTCCTACAGGTACTATATTAGTTTTCATGGCATAGGCTCTGGCCATTCTTCACAAAAATAAATATTTTTGTTCAAATGTAGTAGCAGAAGCAGTATACTTCAACAAGTTTCCTTGATATCAACCTCTTTGTCCAGTGCATTAGGACTATACAGTTACATGGAACCAGCCATAAAACTTTACAGATGCACAAGTCCCTGTTACTGGCAAAGGTACAGTACCAAAACTTTTTTTTAATACACCGACTAATATATTTTTTTTTCCAAAATAGAAGATGCATATATTTTTCTGCCTTTTTAATCTTGCAAGCTACAGTTTTATAAATTTCTTATCCAGCAAACTCCTTAGGGAATATGTTGGTCTTAAATGAACATATTCTATAGGATAATTGATTTTAAATCCTTCTAAGGTATTTCATTAAGATACCAAACCTCTAGTATAACCTTTCCTAACAAGTTGAGACCTGCTAACTTCAGTCAGTGCAAATGAAGTGTTTTTTTAAAGTGAGCACTGTACCTTTAACCAATTCACCTACAAGATGGTACATAGGTTGTGGTACACACAAATTTAGAAAAGAAATAACTACAATACTGCATCCTCTTCACTGCCAAACACATCAGAAATTGCTACATATAAAAAAGCACCCCATCCCATACATTCTTTCGGACTGCTTGGATATAGAACTACAGGACTGGAGTGTAGGTGTTTAGGCAAGAAGCATGCACAGCAGAAGGTAGCATTAAAGGCATAGGTCAGAAATAGATACTAACCAATAAAATCCGCTTTCAATTAGTGAACTGTTTCTCTAGTTTGAGAGTTTAGAAAAAGGTCATCCAAAATCTTCCAAAACAACTGTTCACACAATAATACACGTACAAAAAGAGGGAACTTACACAAGGAGAAAAGGCAAACATGGCCTGAAATAGCCACTTACACTACACTACTCATTTGTGAGGTTTCAGAGTTCAGTGATATTCTCAGGGCCACTCTAGCCAAGCTCTTCCTTTACTTCGCGTTAGTCTTTGTAAAGCATGTTCCACAGAATATTGTCCAAACAGAACAGAAAGGGTTACAAGTCACTCCCAGCCATTGTCTTTTATCATGTGGGCAAGTTCAATGATAAATTTTCCTTCTTTGTATTTCTGACTGCTCTCAAAAGCATGTTCCTGGGAAGAAGAAACATCAAGACACTGAATTAAGCTGAGGAAATTAAGTATTTCAAACATGAAACTTACATTAAGAACACAAACCAGGAGACATTCCTGTTAACATCCCATATTGGTTATACCAAGTGAGGGGTGGGAGCGAGGAAAGAGTATGAAGGGGCTTGAGAAGGAAGGAGTGAGCTTCTCAAACAGAATAGGCAGATGCACTGCACAACAGATCTTGCTTTAGAACCTCCCATGTTCTCTTGCTGCTTAGGAAATTTTAAGGCTTTTTCTAATGAAGGTTAGGAAATGGCACGTTATGTGTGTTCACACATTCCCTATTCCCAGAAGCAATGAGAAGAGGGAACCATAAGATCTGAAGCTATACTCAATTGATGGAAGTTCTACATGCAACACCCAGAATCTAACTTTTTCAAAACATCAAACTTGCAACACAGATGCCAAGTGTTACAGGTAACTATGCGAGTGCACAGGTCACTTTTCAAATGAGAATCAAGTTCACATTAGTTGTAAACGTGCTCAGCACCACTTGTAGTAATTCATATTTTTGCTGAACCAACTTCTGCAACCCTATAAATTAAAGACCCACTTTGACAATTTCTTCCATCCCATTTAGTGTATGCAGCTGGTAATCTTGCAAAAGATATTACAGCAGTATCAGACAGCTGTAATAGCACCTATAGCTCATGCTTGTTTTGCAGTCCAGAATAAAGTTATTATCTACTACAGCATTCCATCAGATGTGAGGAAGCAATACTAAATTACAGTCTGATATATACAAAGGCACTAAAGCTAACTCACCTAAACTATCAGTACAGGTGCTACACAATGGCCTACTCACATATCTCTGCTTCAACATAGAAATATTTATCGAAGACTTAAGTATATTGCTTACATATTTCCATCCAAGAGTGGTTTTACAGTTTTCACAATAGATATCTGCTACAGCATGTAAACCTGTCAGAAGAACTCTCTCCTCTGCTGGACCACAGCCCACATTTACCCTGAAAAAAAAAGGGAGAAATTACATTAACTACATGAGTGTGTTGATTTTCTTGCCTGTTACCCACCTTTTCTCTAGAGGACAAAAAAATAGCTTCAAAAAATAAAGTGCCAAGCTTACTTACTGGTGTAAAACTAACTTGCTCTGTTACACTGAGCTGAAGGACAGGAAGAAAAAAGGAAGTTGTTTTTTGTTTTTCAATTGGCTAGTCTAAACAGCAAACTGTTGGTGATGCTCACTGACTCCCATCAGCAAAGACAGGCTAGATAGTTAAACTTTCAAACAACAGAACACTAAGCAGTAACTGGACACCTCTACAGTTTTGGGGTTTTCTTTTAGAACAATTTGAGACCTCTATAATGGAAGTCTGTACCAGTAAATCAGCACAAATAGCTGAATTTAGAACCAACTCCAAAATAGCAGCAAGGAAAAAGCCTCATAAATATTTTGTCAGTACAGGTCAGCAGACTAAGCCACAATGAACAAGCAGCAGTATCAAAACAAAACGTCCCATCAAACAGGACCTCAAGCTGGTGTTTTCATGAATAAGAGTCTATGCAGAAAACATCAGGCAACATTAAATCAAATTTTGCCATTTTTGCTGTTGTATTAAGAGATTCTTAATACTACAATTATACTAGAAGTCCCAAGTCACCCCTGAACAGCGATATATAAAAAGAAATTCAAGGATGTGCAAATCCTTTGCCATTACAGTTCCATTATCCTGGTCTGAAATATAAGACACTTAACTACACTTCTTTCTCCAAGATGCTGCAAACAAGAAGCTGTGAAAAATAAATACAAAAACGCAATCCTGCATGTTACAAACCTAAAATACATCCATTAGCAAATTCAGAGAGTGGGTAGGACGTGCTTAGGAGAGTGGGTATTGTGGGTAGGACGTGCTTAAAATTGCGAATAAGATCTTGATAAGATCACAGAGACCTTTTGCCTCTAGGACTTTTGCAATATTCAAGGTGATTTATGATGTACCAAGTTTAGTGAAACATTAACCTGTAAACATATTTGACCATCACACTGGAAAATTATTCTTTAGACTACAGCATGGGTATCTAAAGCAAATTTACAGTCATACAATATATTTTGACTTCTGGAATATCTCAGAGCAGCAACTCTTACTCAAGACAGTTACCATTACATACACAAAAGGAATTTCACATTAACACCTCTAAACTTTCAGCTGTTAGCAGAATTACTTGAAATACAAGATAAACTAGTATGTGCAAAGGGATGCTTACAAATGAGTTCAGTAGCTCTTTAATAACTATTGCTGGTGAATAAAGCCAACATGAAAAAGAACAGGGCAAAGTACAGCTACCTTAATTCCTACTGTTTTCCACTTTGGAAGCATACAAAAAAAATCCACTCTGTAGGCAATGTGCATAACCATAACAACATACTCACACAGAATTAAAGAGGTAGGCTCGTCCCTGGCTTCCCTGGAAGGACTGCATGGAAAAAAAAACAATTGCACTTGTTAAAAACCACAAAACCCCCCACCAAACAAACAAACAGTTCCAGAAGGGTGTGTTAGTAAGCATATAAACATAACACAGATATAAACTATTTCAGACAAATTACTATGTACCAATTCTTTATAGGAGAGCCTGATCAGCAAAGTTTTCACCCACATTAGATTTTTAGCAACGGTATTATGTATTATTGCTCAACATAAGACAACCATCATGCAAACAAAACACACTTTTCTCCTACCCCTGTGCAAGGTATCAATTCTCATTTTCCTAGACATCCTTCATGCTAATTAAAATAATCTGCTTTTAACTCAAAGGGAATTATTTCCATCTCCTCTGCCCCTTCCCACTGCATTTAAAAGATGACTTATTCAATTCCATTGCATCATTTGATGCAAGACCAGAGAAATTCTGGACCAGGCATAAAACCAGCAGACTCTATCCAGGAAATGCATCTGATCAGCTTATAAGATCAACTTTATTTTAATAAAACAACTGTCACCATCAAATGCCCAAGCACAGCCATATGTTTTCAAATCCCTCACACTCCTGATAGATTATGGACAAAAGATGTCTGTTAAGACTTTCTTGGCTGGATCTAAATTAACGTTTTAGTTCAGAGCAGCAGCACAGTTTTGAAGTAAAACTCCTAACCAACCACACTTACTGGGGGTTGGCTTGGCTTGCAGTGCAGTTTCAATGCCCACAACTACAGCTTCATTCCTTCTGCACCAAACTAAATGAGAAACTCTTCTACTGTGCACTCTACAAATGCTAATGAAGATAAAGGCCTGAACCTATGATCAGACAGCCTTGAGCTAAAAACATCCTGCCAAAACCTGTGAGCAGACCAGATCCAGCCATACGTAAAACAATGTAAATGTATGTAAGACATAAGTGCCTTCATCTGTTCATTTGTTCCTTCTGCACTGAATTACCTGGTAATTCAGACACAGCCATTATTTCCCATTCAAACAGGATCACACCAAAAAAGAATTTTTCTTTTTTCCTTCTTCCATACTGAATTCCATTTCTAAAAATCCCTGAACTGTCTTAATTTCCTTCTTCTCCCCCCCCCACCCCCGAATTTCCCTTCCCTAACCCACTTTCAAAGAAAATTAACAATTTATCTATGCTGAAGAGAAAGTACAATTGGTTTTAAGAATCCTTGCAGTTCTGGTATTGAAGATCAAAGACCAACTTTTCTGAAACCGACATCAGATCAACAAGCAAAGCTTTTGGAAGGAAAACCTCACCTTAAATATTCTTGAATGGGTTTAGTAGCATTAGGCATAGAACCACAGGCAGAAGGACCTTTCTGCAATGAATTCTTCCTCTGACATGTATTTAGTTATATCATTGGAAGTCACTTGACACCAAAATAGGTATTTTGCCAGACTAATAATTAGCAACACACCACCAATAACTGTTGTATCTTTGCTACTTAGAATAGTTTGCAAAAAAAGATGTAAAAGGGAAATGTATATAAATGAACACTTTTTGATCAACGTTAACCAGGTTACATACTGCAGCCAAGAATGGTAGAAGAAATCCATGACTCAAGACTACTCTAACTAGCAATGGTGTCAGTGTAGTTACATACAGCCCTTAGCTATTCAAAAATCTCACCTTGAGATCAGTTCTACTTAAGTTTCTAGCATAATATTTTAGCATCTATATAAAAGAATTAAGTGGAGATTCTTACTGACAGGATATAATTTTTCATTTATAGCAAACACAAAAGGAAAACGACTCTCTCTGTTAACCAGAACTGCAAGTCTCATTTTTCACAAGACAAGGAAAAAAATATAGGCTATGCAGTATAGTGAAAGCTAAAACTTCAGGCAAGACTGACCCTGAAAGGAGAGACTCAGTTGAGTACAGAGTCTGGAAGCTCTGCCAGAAAGTAATCCTTACACCTACCTTTCAAACCAACAAACAAAAAAAAAAAACCCCATCACTCGTTCAGTTCTCCTAAGTCCATTTCTCAAGCATCACAAACGGGCAGAATGGTACAGAACCTGCAGTCTGTGGTTTCTATAGCATAAGCAGGGCTCTCTAAATTAGAGCCAGTGCCTCACAATCAATAACAAATCAGAGAAAGTTTACTGCAGATGAAAACTAAAACTGTTCATGTATATACTCTCAAAAACTGCCCATCAACAAATGGGTAACTAGCCTGAGTCAACGACACAAGAATTTAGAGACTGCAGTTGTGCAACCCCAGAATTTAAGAAAAAAAGCAAAGGACCCCCTTCTAAGGTCCTGTTATTCATTAAGAAGTAGACTTAAATGACAATTTCCTTGCTCCATGTGCTAAACTTTCAAAGCCATGATGACCATTTTTTTAAGCTACTGTAAAACATCTTAAATTTTAAAAGTTGCAGCCACTTATCTTTGCTTTAAAAAAATCTACTTGGGAATTAGAATTCACAAACCCTTTTTCAAAGTGCACGAAGAAATACTCCCTCTTGTTAAATTAATCATGTCCTAGTTCTCTATTTACATTTAATTACATATGCCAATCGCATACAAATTAATGTGGGTGGTTTTTTTGTCTGGTCCTACATAATCACTTTTTAAACTACTTAAAACACCATACTTGAAGTTCCTCAGCTAGCTGGGAAGAAACAAGACTCCAGAACAAATCAACAGACAGGAGACTACTTTATGCAACTATTTCTGCCAAGTTTACGTTTAGTTGTGACTTAACGTCACCGAATAAAAGCACTCCTTTGACCCTGCATGTCTCAAAATTAAGCAGAGGGTAGTAACAGGATGCCAACAATAGCAGAAAAAGCAGCTGTTCCCCTCTCTTGTTTCATAAACTGAAAAAATTCTAGCCAAACGAAATACAAGACACAGGTTGGAAAGTACTGCTTTAGTTTCTTTTTTTTCCTGATGTATTTTTAAAGATTACTTGACTTTTCTTGTACCCTTTGCTTTCTTGCCCTACATATGCTCTGGTCTCCTAGATTTTCTTCTCCCCTCAGACATGACCATCTTCATTACCTTCTAATTTTGCAGATTATCAGGAGGGAGAAGCAACACAAAACAGAGTATTTTCCTAGTGCAGTTGTTTTGTTTTAGAAAAAAAAAAAACCTGTTCACACACATCCCACAGTGAAAAGCTCCTCCATTCCCACCTTCTCTAGCTTCCTTGCTAGCAGAGTTTGGCTGATGCATTTGATACCATCTTTCTTACCTACTTACATGTTCAGAGGCTAAATATTCTATTTACATGCCACAGAATAATTGTTTCTTTGCCCAGCTGTGAAGAGTAAATTCCTCCATGTTCACATCACTCACAAACAACTTGACAGCAACCTGTAGCAACCTGTGTTGTGTTCTGGAATACAGAACAGGGGTCTAGGCAACTCAGTCTTTCCTTTAAAATCATTGTCCAACAACAGCAGTGTGTCACTGAGCATTTAATGTTCTGCAATCCATCCACGCAGAACTCTCACACACTGAAGAAAAAGCATGGTAAAGATACCAGATTTTACATTTCTGTGCCTTTTCATTTTTTCTTATTAATTTTTTGTCACAGTTTGGCAGTCATAGCTTCTTATTCAGATGAATAGCTGAGATTTAAAAAAAAAAAAAAAAAATTGTATTCAAACAACACAAAAAGGTAATGCTTGACCACAGAATACTGATGAACACGTAGGGTTCTACCTACCAACACACAACAAAAATTATCAGAGCTCTACTTCCTGATGCATCCTATTACTAGAAATAGAAAGAGGACAACTCATCTTGACATTTGAACTGCTTGCAGAGCTTGTAATTTGGCTATGAATGGGGTATTTTACATAACCAGAAAAAAAATTAATACTGAACAAACATTTATTCTTACCAGCACTAAGTTTCTCACACTCTGCACTGTATGATGAAGTTACACTGATATGAATTTCAAGAGACTGAGAGGTTAAACACCTTGTGTGTCAGCTCCTCAAAGGAAATGAGAGAGAATATTTGACATGGCAGCACCAAGGACAGACAGGAGGAACTGTTCAAACCAGCCTCCAGACAAACTGCTCTTTTACAGAATAAACATCACCTATGCAAACACAAACTTCTACTTTGCAAGATTTGTTCAGCACCTCCAAGATTGCTTAGCACTACACATAACTCATAACCAAACCTGAACACTCTGTTAAATCCAAGTCTTAGATGTCTTACCCAGTAGAGAGGAATTAGTGGCAAGTGTGACCAACTGTCACCAATGACTCAGATTAATCATGATTTTCACTTAGAAGCTGGGCAATTTATCAGTTAAAGTGAGATTCACAGTGAAACTTGCTTTATGTCTACTTTTTCATGGCCCTCAATGATTAACATTGCATTGATTTATGAGCCAAGTTTTGCCCCTAGAAAATCTGTATCTTTGACCAGTTGTCCATTCCTACAGGAAGATCCGTAAGATCTGTAACTCTTTCTTGTTTCAGCACAGTTGGGAGTCTCAAGAATGCTTGACATCATAAGCAAAACCATTCAACTCTGCTTAGGAACTATACTAAGGTCGACTGCAAGAATAGTTTGGTATTGTGATCTTTTCAAGTCAACTGAGAGATCTCTGCCATCAATACACTCTGTAGTAAATACACTATAAATGTTCCACTTACACACTAGTACACCTGCAGAATTACTTCCAGAATGCTTCTAAGTTAAATCCGTCATTACCTCTAACACCAGGATTAGCTGTTTTACCCAGGAGAAAAGGAAGTATCAGTTCAGCCAAACATGTATTTACTGCTCTAGGCATACCTCAGGGCATGCATGGGGGAAGGGAAGCTACTAAAAAGCTTATGTAATTAATTATTCCCCACAGATGGGATTAAATTGCAAGGCTAGAGATCATGCTCCACAGAATACCTCCAGAGAAACTGCCACCTTAGTGTGCATTAAAGGTACCGCAGGCATTGTTATAAGCAGGTCAGAACAGCATTAACAGTTTCTTCCTTAAGCTCCCC